TGCTCCCTTCTATTGGCAAAAGAGCAGGAACAAAAACAGAACACAATCCTGAGTTCTGGGCAGGTTTTTGTGATTGGATGAGAGGCTTTGTTCTGTGAGCTGACCTGGACTTCATATCCTTTTGTAGAAGTACCTTTTACATTGTCAGTTGTCCAAAGCTCAGGTACTCAAGAGTCTGTTGGTTTATGTACAGCTCCACAATTAAATGCCTGGCAGAGGAAAGGGCAACCGAGCCTTAGCTGACCTCTTTCTTGGGACAAGCATTGTCAAACAAGGATGTGTGACTGAACTGTTTGTACTGCTTTGCACAGCTGTGCTGGACAGGGTAATCCATTGTCAGTTGTCCCAGGTAGTCTTCCAAGTGCAGGAAGGTTTGCTTACTCTAGACCTCATGTCAAGCAGACTGTATGAGACCTCTATGTGTTGATGCTATGCTGATGGTCTGCTCTGATCTTCATTTGCTCATGGGTATATTCTGTTGCTTAAAACTGGCCTTGCATTAATTCCCAGTCTGAGCACAGAAAACCACACCAGACTCCTCATAAAAGAACACAGCCTGCCTTTATCAAACATTATCACAGCAGAGTTTATTATCCTCCATATATTTGCTTATTGTGGGTGTGTTTTGAACCTGAAACACCACTTCTTGGAGAGAAAATATGATTTTTTGTATAACTCATGGAAAAAGCCTCTATATTAAATGCATACAAAGCTGCCCTGAAGATCTGGAACCAGGATACTACACAGAAGTCAAGTTTTATATCTCACCAGATATAAAAAAAACACTGGGATAATTTTTATTCTATTCTTGCGTTGTGATGGTGTGAAAAAAAAAGATCACTAATGAAAGTTGCAGTTTCTTCCTGAATATGTTTGTAGGTCCTAAAATTCCTCATCATGTAGGCCATACGTGATGAGCTGGACTTGTGATACAGGTCTGGACACTTCTGTAATTCATGAGTGATCAACCAGACTAAGGGAATGGGAGTCATGGTTGTTTAGCAGAGAGTGTTGGAGGACATTTGAAAGGCAGATTTCACTGAGTTAAATGCACTGACCAACTCTTACATGCAGCAATGGAAGACCACTGTGGTGGAAGCAGAACTAAACCCTTGTAGACACAAAGTGTCCCTGAACAAAAAAGGGATAAAGAGTGAAAATGTGGCATAAATCTGCGATATACTATAAACAATGTGAGAAAACAGCTCATTAAGTGAAGACACACAAGTTCGAAGAATCATGGAGTATCTCAAATTGGAAGGGAACTATGAGGATCATTGAGTTCAGCTCTCTGATCCTTGCAGTACTACCTACAAATAAACCATATGACTAAGAGCATTGTCCAGACACTCACTGAACTCTGACACACTGGGTGCTGTGACCACTTCCCTGGGGAGCCTGTTTCAGGGTGTGACAGACCATCCTCTGGATGAAGAACCATTTTTCCAGTGTCCAATCTGAGCTTCCCTTGATGCAGCTTCATTCCATTTCCTTGTGGCCCATCACAGCTCACCAGAGAGAGGAGAGCAGCACCTCCCCCTCCACTGCACCCACTGAGGAAGTTGTAGGCTGAGATGAAGTCACCCTTCACCCTCCTCTTTTTGTCCTTGAGGCCTCTCACTCTCCTCTGTCCTCTTTGTCACCCTCCTCTGTGCACACTCTTATAGTGTGATGTCCTTCTTACATTAAGGTGCCCAAAGCTGCGACACAGGACTCGAGGTGAGGCCACATCAGCACAGAGTAGAGTGGAAAATAGCATAGTTTGGGTTTCAAGGGACACTAAAGATGCCCTCTGCCACTGGCAGGGTCAATCACCTCCCTCAGCCAGCTGGTGATGCTGAACCTGATGCACCCCAGTATGTGGTTGGTGCTTTTGGCTACCAGGACACACTGTTGACTCAGATTCAACCTGCCATCAGCCCAGACCTGCAGATCTCTTTATGCTGGACTGTTTTAAACTTCTCATCCCCAATCTGTACTTGCAATGAGGATCACTCCATCTTGCACTTGCTCTTGTTAAATTTCTTACATTTGGTGATTGCTGAGCTCTCTTGCCTATGCAGATATCTTTCTAAGACCCTCGAGGGAGTTCACAGCTCCTCCTAGCTCAGCATAGCTGCCATATGCCCACTTTGGCATGTCCACTTCAGCTTTTTCATCATCATCTTAGAAGGATGACTGATAATCATTATTTTGTGGGCACAAAGCTTAACAGGAAACCAATGTGTGATACATGCCCTGTGACTTGGGGTCCAGGCACACCTCCCACCTCTCTTAATCATATGTCAGATTTTCTTCTGACTACCTGGCACCAGAAAGCACTTCTACCTCTCCTGATGTCCATGTTACCACCTCACCTCACCTCCTGAGCTACACACTGACAGACAGCAACTCATCAAGGGGAATGTAGATTTATATGGCACATTTATTTTCACAAGAGGAAGCAGACTGAGGCAAAGAACACTGCACTGCCTAAGCTTTTGACAGCGTACAGGAGTGTACTCTTCTTAACAGAGATCACAGTTATATCCCATATGTTCTAAAGAATTATGTGGTACAGACTTCGGGATCCTCCTCCTGCCTTCCCCCCCCTTCTCCCCATGCTTTTAGTAATCACACAGTGCTTTGCAGAGGTCAGAATGGTTTCTTAACTGTTTGTCCATTCTATTATTTCAATACAGAACAATAGCTTTTATAAGTGAAATGCATTTATAACTGAAATATATTTGCTATTGTGTATTATAAGTGTCCCACAGACCATGAACACTCCTCTAGCTGGATTTCACAGTGCCTCCATCATCCGTCAGGCCATTAATCTACTTAGGGAAGATCTGAGAGATACAAGGCAAGTCCATACAGAAATATATTTGGAACTGTTTTTTACTTTATCTAGAGTTTTATGACTCGCTGTTGACCCCTGAGAATAAAATACATTGCTGTAAAACCTAACTAATAGAAAGATCTTTTATAAGTATTGCAGCTTCTCAAAGAAAATGTTCCTGTTTTTGACTTTTATCTCAGTTGGTTTTGTCATATGAACCCTACTTTATTTCCCCAATTTTTTTAGAAGAATAAAAGGCTAAATCCTGTCCTCCCTTCTGTCTAGAATGGCTGCATTTCGAACATTCAGAAAGTACTAACAGAAAGAAAGTTCTGGTCTATTACTACAACCATAGTAACAAACTGACTAATTACTGATGTACTGACTAATAACTGCTAATTATGTGTGACATCAGTAGGGTTTTCACATTTTTTTTTAAACTGACATCCCAGTATCTAGTTGCAAATGAGGGATTACTTCCCAGCCTTTTCTCCAGCCCAATGGTCCTGAGGTACTGGTGGAAAACACTGTTATTCAGAATAAAATACTAATATTTGTTCTCTCTTCAATCAAACCCAAACCCATTGAAACAAAAACCTGACCTTATACCATTAATTTATTTTTATGGTGTCAAAAGTCAAACTTCTGAAGGACAGCAATGGGTGGGTCACAACTCAGACTGTATAAATTCCCAAGGGCTCAGCCAGTATACCCACATACAGCTGGAAAGCTGTATTGCCTTTGGTGCTGAAGCTTGAAGGTAAGCATTTCCCCATGAAAATTTACCTTCTCACTGAGTTATTTCTTGTTTCTGACTAAACTTAAACAGAGAGAAATTGTTTTTTGTTTGATATTTTTCAGGGCAGAATATTTTCATGATATCCTCTACAAATCTCACCAGTGTATATGCATTCTATGCTATCTTATTATGTGCAAAATCTGAATATTTGTGGTTTTGGGGAGATTTTTTAAGTTATTCTGTGTGCTTAAAATATTATTTTGTGCTCAAAACATGATTTTATATCAGAACATTTTCTCTTCCCATTCAGTATCTTTTAAGGTTGATTTTGACAGACAAGTAATAAGTTTTCTTGCTTGACCTCTGGTTCAAAAGAGTGCATTGAGAGCTGAATTGTGGTGTTCTGTGAATTTGCTGATTTAGTGTGAAATTTCCCTAGGAGTTGCATTCCTGAAAAATAAAATTGGTAAACAAAAGACGACATAAAAAGGTATGTGGGTGGAGAGATGTACAGTTTTTAAATAACTTATAAATGGGAAGATGTATACAGGAAGGAAAGTGAGAGAAATATGTGTATGTCTGTATGTGTATATCCAAGAGGCCAGTCACAAAACACTTTGGTAGACTTGAACACTACAAAGAGCAACTTGAGATCCTAGCATTTAACTCCTACATAAGGGGCTGGATTTTAAAAAACATCAGTTTAATTTCTCAGACAGGTTATAGTCTGAGAAAACATAGCATATTTAAGCAAAGCAAGCTACTCCCAAAGCACAATACAATGAAACATGAATTTTGTGCATCAGTCTTGCTCCTAGATTAGGTGAACTTAGATGAATTATATTGCCTGCCCATTACTAGGGTAAACTACAGGCCTCTGAAGATCTACTGACAGTAAATACTGTGCAACAAATAGATACTTTACAACACCTACTTATTTTTAGAAAATAAAAATAGCTAACCTCTGCTTTTACCCATATCTCTCCAGATCTAGACCAAATGGAAATGCAATTTGCACTTAAATTTCCAGCTTTGCAAGTATATGAAAGAGATAATATTTTCTTTTTTTATCAAGCTACTGCAAAGTACTAAGGAATTGTAGCCTTCAGTGAATGAAAATAAGTACAAACAATTGTTGTCTGACTGCTTTGAAAAGGTAAACAGAAAACACATACAGATTCCAGAGTTCTGAGGAGCTGTTACAAAAAGGTAAATGTGTAGAAATGCAGAAGGAAACAGATTTGTGAAAACAGTTTCTAACACGCACAAGTGGTGAGTATAGCAATAGACATGTTAACATAGAATGATTTCCAAATTACTTGTTTATATCTTATAGCCTGAAAACCCCTATTAAAGTGCATGTGCTGTGTGTGTATGCTGTTCCCATCGTGACATTGTTATTGTGCTTTTGCTCTTTGCTCCAGACAATACTGCTGCACAATGGGCTCCATCGGTTCAGTGAGCACAGAAGTTTGCAGTGACATATTCAGGGAGCTGAGAAGCCAGAATGTCCAGGAGAATGTCTGCTACTCCCCTCTGCTCATCATTTCAACCCTCTCCATGGTCTACATAGGTGCAAAAGATAACACCAAGGCTCAGATAGAAAAGGTGAGACTACATTTAGGATTTAAATCCTCCTGCTACTCAAGAGAGCCACAGCCCTCAATTACATGATAATGTCCCTCAGAGGCTAAAAAATGTGGATCCCAAGTTACCAAAACATGGATCCAGGGTTATCAAAAGCTGTGGCCACCTGAAACTCCCAAGGTTAAACAAATGCATCAGCCTGAAAGCTTGAGACTGGATTTAAATTTTATCATAGGTTAGCAGTAGAATTCTCAAAGACAAAAATACATTCTAGTGACCCTTCTTTTGGAATAGAGAAAGGAGACAAAAATCTGTAGGGAAAGAGCTAAAACATATCCCCTGACTGCAAAGCATTTCATGTGTTTCCTACAGCTCTCACTATCTTCACAGAGAGTGGCTGGCTTGTTACCTATAAGAAGGTTGGTAATATTGGTAGCACACACTGGAGCTGAATTCTAGATGTTCAATAGAAAAAAAGGATTATCTAAGCAGGCAACAGTAGGCATGGCTATTCAGAGATGGCACAGATAGATTGCACTTTTTGAGTCATTCTCAGTTAGTCAACAGGTTTCCTTAAAACATTATGTGTTAATCTCAGTTGCATAACCTTTTTCTTGTCACACCAGTTATTCCAACTACTGTTATTCTTAATTACAGGCTATCCACCTTGATAAAATCCCAGGATTTGGAGAGAGCACTGAATCTCAGGTACAGAAAAAAATTCATCCCTTCTCTATGCCAGTTTCTCCTGGGAGCAAAATCTATCAGATAAAGCAATCTATCAGATAAAGCAGTCTCATAGCAGTTCCAACCCTACTCCAATGAGCAGCTAGTGCTCCTCATCCAGCATTTTGGGGAAACACTTCATTCATAAGAAAGAACAGAGAAGGCGGGTAACAGAGAATTCAGATCAAGCATAAAATGAAACCCATCACCATATTATTGGGCCAATAGGGGGAAATTATAGGTATTTGTATGATTAGGCCAAGTAGCTGATGCTAGTGGTTAAACAAGACTGGTTGGAAACTCATCTGCTGGAGCTAGATTATTGTAGCAGGTAATTAAAAGCCCCCCCAAGAATGGTATTAGGAAATTACAGTAGAAAACCAGCACTGAATTGCATATACTACATCAGCATAGGATGAACAGTTTTGTAAGCAGGAGCATCTGAACTACTCTACTCCTTTCATATAGTATGCAATACCTACTCATCATTAAAATTAGGATAACAACATCTGTATATTTTATGCGTATTCATGTCAATCAGTGCGGCACATCTGTGAGCATCCACACTTCACTTAAGGACATCTTCACCCAAATCACCAAACCAAGCGACAATTACTCCATCAGCATTGCCAGCAGACTTTATGCTGAAGAGAAATACCCAATTGTGCCGGTGAGTTGCTCTAAGATCTGATCTGAAGGTCAAAACGGTAACTTTCTATAATTCAAAAAGCACTGTCAAAAGTCTAGGCTCTGGTAAAGAAACTTTCTTCCACATGGAAAGATTCTCTCTATCACAGCCTTAAACCTTCTTGAGAAAAAATGTGACTAGCCAAAAAGATGTTTGTGCAAAGTACAATAACGATTCGATCAAGTCAAGGCATAATTAATAAAGGTAATTTTTGCTGGCAAGAGATAACTCCAACTCTTCTCAACTTGCAAAACAAACCTGAAAAATAACTTCAGGTTCTCAAACATATTCCAAGGTTTTCCATTGAAAGGAATGTTTAATTTCAAATTCAAGGAGAATACCATTGCAAAAAAAAATTAAAGTGCACAAAGAGAAAAATAAACCCATACTTAACTGAAATTAATGTTGTTTTTAAATTAAACTCAGTTCTGGAAAATACTTTTTAAAAATGTGGGCATATAGTCTTAAGATGCCTATGAACTAGCTTATGGTTTACTGATTAGCCTCAATAAGCAGATTTCTCATATTTGTTAATTTAATTCTTACCTTTTACATCTGCAAAATGCTTTGACATTCTGAACTGAAAATGGCATACTCTTTCTTTGCAGGAATACATACAATGTGTGAAGGAACTATACAAGGGAGGTTTGGAATCTATCAGCTTTCAAACAGCTGCAGAAAAATCCAGAAAGCTCATAAATTCCTGGGTTGAAAGTCAGACAAATGGTAAGAGGAAGCCAAATATCAGCATAGGTATTTTCCCTTCTGCCACCACATTTGAACAACATGTGAGACCATTTAAATCAGGTGATGAAAAACCAAAACCTCTTCCTCTGCTCCTTTTTCTGGATGGTAGATCAGTTCCCAGATACAGAACTATCATCTAAAATTTATTTTTTTTCCTCACATACACCCCCGTTAGAGGACTCTATCTGCAAAGGCTTTACAGATATGTAATACTTCCTGTCCCGATAAAAGGGACAGAACTAAAATATGCTTTTTACACATTGACAAATTTTTTTACACCAATGTTTCAACTTTTGTTTGAAGCAAAAAAGTATTAAATGTTTGGTTGGGAGACCATCCTAGAATAAAAGGTTTCAATGTTTTTTCCTGTTGTCACAAAATATACTAATTCTGAACCAAGTAAATCTCTGGATCATATATCTCTCACTATATTTCTTCATAAGGAGAGAGAGAACAGCCATTGCCAACAGCAGTAAGCAAATCAACATTGGAACTACAAGATAACAGCTACAAAACCAAATCGATGTCCCTGCCCTTCTCCCTCCTTCCCACAAATTCTTTACCCTCCATTTAACGTTGGAATTGCCAAGTAAGATGTGTTATAGGCAGATGTTATATACATACATGTTCTCTTTTCCTATGCATTTTGAAAGGGTCCATCAAAAATATCCTCCAACCAAGCTCCGTGAGTTCACAAACTGATATGATCCTGGTCAGTGCCATCTACTTCAAAGGACTGTGGGAGAAAGCATTTAAGGAAGAAGATACCCAGACAGCTCCTTTCAGAATTACTGAGGTTTGTGAGCATACATCACTTTAAAGGTGTAATCTTCTAGAATTTATGAAGGGAGTAGACATGTTGCTGTACAATCTTCCTGAAAAAGAGCAATTATCAGCTTTAACCATAAATAGGCAATTCTACACTCTAGGAATAATCTTAGGGAAAAAAACATTATTCTCTTTGACTTTGCAGCAAGAAAGCAAATCTGTGAAGATGATGTCTCAGACTGGTACATTTAAAGTGGCAGAGATCCCTTCTGAAAAATGTAGGATCCTGGAGCTTCCATATGCCAGTGGTCGGCTGAGCCTGTGGGTGCTGTTGCCTGATGACATCTCTGGCCTGGAGCAGGTATGGCCCTGGCAGATGGGTTTCAGAAAATCATAAACACAGTGGGATTTTAGGTACAAAGAAGTTCTCCACATTAAAGTTATCTTAAAGCACGTCCCTACCACAGATCTGAATATTGATAGCATGAGATTGTTGCATAGAGGCAGACAGCTGTCCCTATGTTTGTGCTCTAAAGCTCTAAAGTCTTTAAAGTATGTGCTGAGGATGGATTGCTAAGCAACTGCTTTACTGGGTTAAATTTTTGTCACTGTAGAACAGATTCTTCTCAGCTGTTACTCTAGCAGCTTGAGCTCCAAAGCTTTTATATCTCAATTTCTGCATACTGAGGAACTCACCGGGAAGTTCATGTTAGCTTGAGTATTTGTAATTATGGAATGATTTAACAGCCTTCAACATGCTTCCTTCATACCTTCAAAAATTAAGCTATCTAAAAATTGAATATGAGTATTGGAATGGTTAAAGCAATTAATTAAAGTAAAACATACATGACATATTACTGCTGGTATGAAAATAATATAGCCATTAGCAGGAATGCAATTTGAATATGAAGAGTTATGCAATAAATCTGAGTTAATTGAAATGATTGTGCAGTAACTCAAATTATAAAATATAAAATTATAAAAATAAAGAGTAATTTGAAATGAGATAAATTTCTTCAGTAATAAATGAGCTATCAGTTATTACTGAAGAAATGTAGCTGTGTACAAATGCCTCTGGATACTTCAGGTATTAGTAAAACCATTAACACTTACCTGGAGGTCTTAAATGTAGATAGAGCTTACAACTCAAGTACAAGAATGACTTTTGGAATACATTTCTGAAGAAAAGAAGATAAATAGGTCAAGAGTCTTGGGAAATTTGCTGAGTAGCCATCTAACTAAGACTATTATTTGGCAGTGAGCTTATTAAAGAAATAGGAAGCAGGACAGAGAAGAGAATCATGGTTTGCTTTCCTTTTCTAGACACATTCATCCATATATACCCAGAAAATACACCATAACAAGAGCAATCAGTTTAAGAAAAAAACCACTCAAACGGTACTGCATTTCTACAAAAGAAGTTGTGCTCTCATCCCAAAGATCTAATTTGTTTGTTTCCTTGCAGCTTGAGACCGCAATCACCCCCGAAAATCTCAAGGAATGGACCAGTTCTAGTAAGATGGAGGAGAGGAAAATTAAAGTCTATCTTCCCCGCATGAAGATTGAGGAGAAATATAACCTCACATCTGTCTTAAAATCCTTGGGTATCACCGACCTATTCAGCCCCTCAGCCAACGTCTCTGGCATCTCTTCAGCAGAGAGCCTGAAGGTGTCTGGAGCATTCCATGAGGCATTTGTGGAGATTTATGAAGCAGGGAGTAAGGTGGTACGCTCATCAGGAGCTGGGGTAGATGACACAAGTGTCTCTGAAGAGATTAGGGCTGACCACCCTTTCCTCTTCTTGATCAAGCACAACCCAAGTGACAGCATCTTGTTCTTTGGCAGATGCTTTTCCCCTTAAAGAGAGGAAAGCTGAAAGAGTTTCTGTCCCTCATAGTAAGAAGCAAAGTGCTGCAGTATCAAGGGTAAAAAGAAACACAAACTTTCTCTTTTATCCATATTTTCTAAAACCAGAAGGCTTTATTTAAAAAAATAAATTAAAAAAAAAAAGAAAAAAAAAAGAGGTTAAGGCAGACAAATTTTGCCAGGAAAGCAGAGACCTTTTGCCCTTCCTTTCTGCTGAGTATTATTATTAACTCATAGATGAAGAATTAAGGGAATGAAAATCTGACCCAAAGAAAGCATGAGCATTAACAGAGATGTTCCTGGTTCAATTTAACAATAATAGTGCTGAATCATCACACTGAAAAAACACATCACTTGTTTCGGGAAAAAAATGCGGTCTTGTAAATGAGCCAGGTTTCTTTACAGACAAATTTTGTGGTGACTCCTGTGGAATAAGTCACTCAAAATTTCCTAGACTAAGCTCTAAACTACTTCCAACCATACCTACTCTGACAATGCAATAGATTTTTATTCCTACCCCTGACACTGCAAGGCTCTTCCTCACTTTCTAAAGATGCATTATAGGAATCTTATAATTCATATTTCTTCTTATGCCTTTTTGGATCAATCATCATGACCAAGCATGGCAGGTTCCTGTTCAAATTTTCTATGTAACCTATCCCTGTATATAATGGGTCTTGTGGATGTATACTTTTGCTCCTTTAATCATAATAAAAACTTACTTAAGCAAATGCTTTTCATTTGGAGTATTTTAAATGCACCTGGGAGAGGGTACTCCTAGTTATGTGTACAAATCTGGGGCTTTGGGTGGATGGCAAGTTGAACACGAGTCAGCAGTGCATTGGCAGCCAGAAAGGCCAGCCCTGTCCTGGGGGTACAGCTGGGCATCTGGGCATGGGAGGGGTTGTCCCGCTCTGCTCTGAGCTGGGGCAGCCTCACCTCCAGTGCTGGTGGCAGTTCTGGGTGACACAATGTAAGAAGAACATCACACTCTAAGTGTGTGTGCAGAAGAGAGGGACTGAAATGGTGAAAGCTCTCAAGGTCAAAACTTACAAAGAGTGTCTGAGGTCACTTGGCTTGTTCAGCTTGGAGGAGAGAAGGCTGAGGGGTGATCTCATCTCAGCCTACAACTTCCTCAGTGGGGGCAGGGGAGGTGGAGGTGCTGTTCTCTGTCTGGTAACCAGCAAGGGCATGAGGAAACGGTATGTATCAGGATTGGACATCAGGAAAAGTTTCTTCATCCAGAGGGTTGGTCACTGGAACAGGCTTTCCCAGGGAAGTGGTCATGATGCCATGCCTGTTAGAGTTCAAGGAGCATCAGGACAATGCTCTTAATCATATGGTTTATTTATAGATAGTTCTGTGAGGAGCAGGGAGTTGGACTTAATGATCCTTATGGGTCCCTTCCAACTTGAAATATTCTATGTTTCTGTGATTTTTCTGTTTGAGTTGGTTCATTGATTTCAGAGAGGTGAGGATTGAGTCTCTCATAACTCTAAGGGCTAAGATAGACTGCCAGGAAGGGACCTGTGTGACCCATACTCCCTCCACTCTAGTGGGACTCAAACTAGTCAGATATAATAATTGCTGCACAAAACATGATTCATCCAGTTTCTCTGAAACAGCAGTTGATAAGCAGTCTGGAAGGCAGCTGGATATGTGCAGAATCTACATGCCACTGAGACACAGCATTGCCTCAGAGAACACAGGGGAATGGGAAATGAGAAGTTTTTTACTTATCTTTGTGGTGTGTTCACAAAGCTTTATGGGCTTTTACTCAGAAGCCAATAATCATGCTAGGAGATGGGATGTCTATGGTGAGTTATAGCTTTTATCTGGAATTAATTTTTCACCTCTTTGTCACTGAATGAAGGAAACATAATTGTGAGGAACTGTCACAAAGAAGCACCAGGAAAGTGAAGCAGAAAGATTTTGGGGAGTGCAGTTACTGCAAGAAGGCTATGCTCTTTCCTGATTCCAGTAGGTATAGCATAGCAACAGTGCAGGGAGGATTGTGGTGGTATGGTTTTTCAGTTCCACCACACAGTATTTGCTTGTTCTACTTGTTTTGGCTTCCCCTGGTCCATCCTCCAAAATAACACATACTTTGGCAGGACCCAGGGGACACGACTTGCTGATAGCAAACATGATCTTGCAAAAGAACAAAGATAACATGACACCACCTTCACTGGTATGTAAATAATTCAAATGTATTCCTTCACTTTCTTTTATCTTGTCTGATTGCTAATCAAGAGATAACAAATGGGGAAATTTATTGCAAGAGAGCTAACAGTGTGTTTACTATGGTCCTAGAGTTTCTGTTGATCTGGTCATGGAAATAGGGCACCTAAATTCCTACGGACACTTAAATTTCAGCAGATTTGTTCTAAAACTGCAATACTTCCAGGCTGGTTTAGTTTTTATCAATTAAAGCATACTTATTCACACACAGAAGACACAAAGAGAACATCTGCTTCTGCACGTAGACAGATATTTTCAGTGCTACTTCTTGATTTCTGTTGACTTCAGCTGCCAGCACAACAACAAGCAGTCATATTCTTGTCCTCAGTAGTCACTTCCTTAAAAGAAAAAAAATCCCATGCATTCCTAGTCCTGTTTTCAGAAACCATTTTGGAGTTTGGCAGATCATACCCCCATTAAGGAATAGATGCTGGAGTTCTCAGATCACAGATAGAGAAATATTTGTTTGAATGTTAAAAGTTTCAATACATCTGAGATACTGTAACTTCTGTAATAACAGACACCCAAAGTACAGGCCCCTAGAGGAACAAGCCTGGATCTAGCCTCAAGCTATGTGCCAGATATCAGACCTCCACCACTCACCATGGAACAAATCCTTTCCTTTGTGCCAACAAATGAGGCTACAGCTTCTTCTCACCATCCTCAAAGAAGCAAAATAGTTCTCACCATGTCCTAGAGACTTCAGCTTTCTGCTGTGTCATGAAGTACAGGTGGATTATGCTCTTGTTTGCCCACAGAATGTCTTTCAGCACAAGTATGGAAGAAGGCTCAGCTTTAGGATCTGTCATTAGAGGCTTTTATTGATTTACCACCACACCCCACATATATTTGTAATTTCAACCATGTAAAGAGACAAAATTAATTCAAAGGATTAATGAGTTGTGCCGATACAAGACCACACTTGCTTGCTTTCTTGTGGTCTTATAATGGGAAGGTAATTCCATATAGATGACAGAATTTGACACTGAGGCCTTACTGTTTATTCCAGTACTAACTGTTCTAATACCTAAAAATGCAAGTAATATTGGTTGGTTGAACAAAGTCAGTTATTTGCAAAAATTGGTCTCCTGAACTTCACAGCATTGGAGAATAACTTGTGTTGGAATGGGCAGCTGACAGTCATCTGGTCTTAACTTCAGAAACACATCAGGGCCCTTTTCAGCCAAACAATGCATATCTTTAAATTTAGAGAATCCACAGTATTAGGACTAATTTAATTTTAAATGTAAATCCAAATATGTAGAAGTAATGTAGACTATCTAGCCAGCTTAGCTTTCTCTCAACAAATGAGAGTTGGCCACATGTGAGAATGAGCCACACCAGTTCCTTCATTTTGATTCTCCCATGCCCAGTCCACAAAACTCTCCCTGTTTTCCCTTACTTTTAAACCTCTTGGAGCCAATGTAGAATACCTCTGAAAATCCTAAGGAGTATTTAATCAACCATGTGAACAGGAAATTTCTAGGATGGCTGACAATGCTTAGAAATAAAAGTGATAACAGATAGCTTCATGCTACACATTTTTTAGTCCAGAAGCATAATTTATACTTGAGCTACATTTTATTACATGGGAATATCACTGGGATATTGCTTGCACCTGGCCTCTATTTCCTCACTGCTACAGTATTGAACATCACAGGAAAAAGAGTTTAATACCATATAGTCCAATTGTCTTGTAAAAGGAACAGTCTCAGATTGCATTTTACTCCCAGAAAACAAAACAAAACAAAACAAAACAAAAATCCAAATTAATTTTGTGCTCTTATTTCTTTAACTCATTCATCACTTTCCTACTTTTTCTATATGCTAGCAATAGCATCCCACAGAAGGCAAACAATCAATTTCTATTAGTGGCACCTTCAGAGGACAGGAAGAGGTTCCTAGAGGTGAGAAAATCCTTACAAGAAAGGCTGACTTCTTAGTCACACAGGTAAAATTCCAGTTTTTTGGCTCTGATAAGAAGCCAATAAGGAGTGGGAGAATAGTGAGATGCCAGATGTGTTTTCATAAGGACCTGAATTACAGATCAAAAGGGGCAGAGGAGGAATCATTGAACTTCACAGGGCTGTGTGCAGAGCAGTTCCTCTTTCCTCTTCCCTCATTCTCTTTCATTCTGCCTCATTTCCCTTGGATGTGGTTCATTAACCATCTTTCCCCAAGGTGCTGATTATCCCCACCCTTACCATGCCCTCCTTTTTCCTCCTTGCCCTCCAGCAATCTCTACTTCTGTGGGCAGTGAGGGAAGAGGGCAGTGCTGGAGTCAAGGCTTGATTCTAAGAGGAGAAATGTCAGGGAGAGGAAGAAAGTGGGAGGACAGTTTACCCCTCCTACTGCCTGTAGGGACCATCCTCTATGAAATTATGCTCTGTCAGCTACAGAGGCCAAGCTGCATCTTTAGGAGGTGGGGGGAGAGCCCCTTCCTCCAGCCACAAACAGAGAGCCATTGCTGTGTCTTTCCTTACACATCCTCTGGTAACTTTCCTTAGCCTGATGTTGCCTCTGTTCCGCTGAATTCAAATCGGTTGTGAACTATGTGTTGGTCTGTCTATGTTCCCAGACAAGGAATTAGCAACCACAGAACCAAGAGATATTAAAAAAGATAAAGGATATTTAGGAAGATGTAGCCAAAGATCTAGAAAAAGAAGGGAGATACACCAAGAAGAAAGAAAAGTCTAAAGCAGCTGAAAGGGACACTGCACTAGTTTTAAGCTACACAGAGTTCTGCTTTTGGCT